TCGGATCATAAGAACTGGTTTTAGTTAACCTGTTAATTGTTTAAAATGTAGCTTAAAATTAAGACTAGGACTAATGCCTCCATAGACCATAAATTAAAGCATTATATAGGTGATAAAATTATGCTCAACACCTATGTACTTCAGTTAAGAGACAAGGTTCAGAGCGTTAATTACGAGCCTCTACTTCCAAAGCAATTCCATGACGGTGTTGTATGCTTCAGTAGCCTTTCAAATGTCACAGGAACCACTTGCTTCCCTCTACATAGAAGAGGGGACTGAAGGTTTGCTGTATAAGGTTGAATAGCAAGCTTAAACTTTTTCGCCGGAATTGAGAAACCGAAATTCAGAGCACCCAAGTGCCGGTAGCGATTAATTGAGTAGAATGCAACCAATGGGTAAATGGCAAGCCTGGTTTTGGCCAACTGTAACACACCTCCCTAGGCACTCTTAGTTATAGGAGAGTTCAGAAACCAAATTTATAATAAAGAATTGCAGCGAAAGTAAAAACACTCATGATATAAAATGTTTCTTCAAAAGAAAGCTTATATTCAGAAAATTAATTTAATAAAACAAATATTAATATATATATGTTGGAAAATGCCAAAATATTCAAAGTTATAAAATAAGCCGAGCTAAGCTTATTTATAATTAAGTTAAAGATTTTATACATAAAGGTAATTTACACAAAATTATACGAGGCAAATTCTTCTTCAAAGCTTTTCAAAAAAACAAAAGCTGAGTCATGGTTTTGGTAACACATCGATCTGCCTCCTTATCGAAAACACGAGGCCCTAGCTTGCACATACAACGAGCATGCGAGTCCCGTGCCAAAAGCTCCTAAACCGAGAGACTGCTACCTCGATCTACTGATCTAAAATGGGGGGGATTTTATGAGTTCACAGCCCAGTAAGTAATAAGTTTAAGCTATAAACTTGGGTCCTAAAACCTTTAGACCTATCCACACAAAAGGCATGAAACACAGCGGAATCAAATCATAAGCACGAATGTCAAGGAATAATCAATGACATTTAAATTGAATTCATATACTAAAATCATATGCTCACAAATATGATGTCACAAGCGCAATGCATAAAATCGAAAATCACACAATGCTATGGAGTC